TTATTTTCGGGATCTACTGGGACAGTGATAAAGATCTACCAGTCGATTGCGATCGACGGGTTGGCGACCACTGAACTAAAGGATTGGGTAGTACCTTTGTGCACAAACAAGTCAGCTGCCTAAGCGTTCAGATGCAGCTAATGTCCCATTCATAGACCACTTTGGTTTGGTTGACATATGTATGAAATTTGAGCTTAGAATAATTTGTTACAATGCTGCGCTGTAAACAAAGCAGAGCTGCGCTTTATACGGAGAAGAAAATGCAGTTGCCATCGAAACTTTTCTCAAGACAGTACCCTTCAGTGATACATTAATATAACCCCATAAATGTAATGCATTTTTGTACTTATTTTACTGTTATTTTCGGGATCTACTGGGACAGTGATAAAGATCTACCAGTCGATCGTGATCGACGGGTTGGCGACCACTGCTGCAGACCAACACTGATAGAAACTGTGTTATCATCCACAGGTGCTACTGACTCCTCTCTGGCCAATATGGAGTACCTAAAGAACATTGGAGAGGGAGTGGCGGCCATGTTGAGCCCCCTTGGTAAGTTCCCTTTCTTTGGGTTTATTACTGATGCTTTTGGCCTTTCCCAAACATTTTTGCCTCTAACACACCATCCGGATACTTCTTTGTTTGGCATGTTACCTAACCCTTCAAAATAAAAATGCTTGTTCCTTTCCAGGCATAGATGTGGACATCGACGTTGAGCATGAGGGGCAGCGGACCAAAGTTACACCAACTCCTCCTGCCTCCAGTGGGCCACCTAGTGCTCGGAGTGAGAGTGGCTCCATAGGGCTTCTCTCCAGAGGGTCTGGTCCTGGAAGTCAGGCCACTGAAGAGAGCATCAGTGAGGGAACAAAGGTAAAACTATATGCAAGCAGTTCTACAATGCCTGATAGCAGGGGTGTACCCATCATTTCAGAAGTGAGGGGGACAGAAATGTTAACCTTTTTTTTATTGACAGGTTTTATTTTTTTTTCTTATCTCTTACTTTTAATTGGCTAAAATCAAATACACTGCTGGACAATTACCAGTAATTTGTATTATTGATTGCATTTGTAGTAATTTTCCTATATTTTCCTAATTACAGTTTTATGGTTTGTAAATATACTACACTTGTTTTCCATTTTTATCACAGAACAAGGCAGAAAATATATTTGATAGTTTCTATAGACCACTGTAATAAATGCTATGTCAGTTAGCACTGCATTATTCAGATGCTTTATTTATTAACTGGAGGTGACTTGAAAAACCCACACAAACCATATATGACCCTGGACCACAAAACCAGTCATAAGGGTAAAACAATTTTAAATTGAGATTTATACATCATCTGGAAGCTGAATAAATAAGCTTTCAATTGATGTATGGTTTGTTATGATAGGACAATATTTGGCTGAGATGCAACTATTTGAAAATCTGGAATCTGAGGGTGCAAAAAAATCTAAATATTGAGAAAATCGCCTTTAAAGTTGACCAAATGAAGTTCTTAGCAATGCATATTACTAATCAAAAATTAAGTTGATATATTTACGGTAGGAAATTTACAAAATATCTTCATGGAACATGATCTGTACTTAATATCCTAATGATATTAGGCATAAAAGAAAAATCGATAATTTTGACCCACACAATGTTTTTTTGGCTATTGCTACAAATATACCCCAGCGACTTAAGACTGCTTTTGTGCTCCAGGGTCACATATATTGTCGCAATCGTGTGCATGTATTGTCTTTACGTTTTTTTTTTATTCAGCTTAGCTACAGCAATAGCTGGATGCCTTTGTCTGTATTAGGGATTTCCTGCATGTCACAAGTTATTACTTCTATGAGTCCATTTTGGACTTTCTGCGTGAGAGCGCCCTCTAGCTTCGAGTATGAATGAAACATACACTGCATGAGAGTTTAGCGCTCCGCAATGTTCACATCTCATCATTTTGGATATGAATAAAATGCCAGGTCATGCATAGACCATCTTTGAATTTAAATCTAGATATATTTACACTGGTCACTGAAAACCTCAACGTGAACACACTTGCCCGAAAAAGTGCGGGGGACAAATTTGTTGTATTAAAAGTGGGGGAGGGGCACATCCCCCGTGTATTCTACATCCCTGCCTGATAGTATACAGGATTGTGACATCTCGAGTTTTCAAAGCCAAAAAAGGCAGAAGTTCAGAAGTTAGGCATTAAAGGCCGAGAAGCTACATTCGGTTAACGTTCATTCCTTCTATCCTAGGGGCAGAAAGACCAAGGCAGTGATGAGGAATGGACTCATCTCAGCTCTAAAGAGGTGGACCCCTCCACAGGAGAGCTGCAGTCCCTCAGGTTGGAGCAGGACGGGACAGAACTTCCAGCCCCGCTAAGTACCGACTCCAGCACAAGCGCCTCCAAGGGTCCCACTGGCCTGCGCGAGGCAGCTCTCTACCCACACCTTCCTCAAGGTACCGTGCATCACCCAGTAGCCAATTCCAGTCCACTTCATATCAATTCAGGCATCCTAATTTTAATGTCCTCTCCCTCAGATGCAGACCCCAAGCTGGTGGAGACTCTTTCTCAGATGCTCTCCATGGGGTTCACCGATGAGGGTGGATGGTTGACCAGACTGCTCCACACCAAGAATTTCGACATCGGATCTGCCCTGGATACCATCCAGTATTCCAAACCCGGTCCACAGAAGTAGAGAAGGAGCACAGGAATAAAGAAGACCAGGGGGCATATTACAGAAAGTTTCTTATCTTAGGTCTTAACTTAAGATATATGTTAAATTAGGATTTTTCACAAATTCGTATTACAGAAGCAAATCTTAACTTGATTTGGGATTCTTATCTTATCTTACAAAATCGTATCTTATCTCTAGTTAGGAAATCTTAAATTGCATTATCAAGTAAGACAATCCACTCAGGTCTGTTACCAAGCAACCAACACTGCGCGAGCTGCTGATGAGGTAAACAAAATAACAGACGCTACTTCACTTTGAAAATCACCCTTTGCAAAAAAAACGTGAGGCATTAGTCACTTGCACTATAACCGGTAATGCTCTGTGACGCTTTTGTTGGCCTCTGTAATGCTGGTTGCAGTTCCTGTGCTACTGTAATATGTTGCACGGCAGTCTGTAATTACTTAAGTGTTTTGTCATCAAAATGTAACATCTTCTGGGTCCTCCAAGAGTCTTTCTACCATTAAACATCTCCGTTCTTCATTTTCAATTAATAATAAATGTAATACCATTGTTGGACAGCGCAGTTTTTCCATTAGCTTTCGAATAATTTTGAAATGAAGACAGCTGTGGGGTTGTCCTAAAGTTAAGACAGTTTTTAGGATTTTTTGTCAAGTTAGGAGGTTTCTGTAATACCCCCTTCCTATCTGTAGTTAAGATAACACACTTAGGAAATGCTGTTCTGTAATAGCTTTTATCCTAAATGTGGTCCTAACTGAAATTACCATGGTTACCAAACAGATAAGATCAGATTTTAAAGTTAGGATCTTTCTGTAATATACCCCCTGCTGGGCCATAACTAATATTGTTAGAAAATTTTGGCCTATTTTCTATTAACAAAGTTTTTCCATACTTTTTCAATGACAAATTCTTTACGTAAATGCTATCAACAATATCAGTTACTCAGGTGACTTGGAACGTAGTTAAGTTCATTATTGGGCTTTTATGCAAAATAGATATATTCAGCATTTCTGTCATTAGCATTACACCTCATGTTATGAAGATTATTATCATTGTATATGCATATTACATATAAAAGTAGAGGTCTACATTTGTGGGTTTTTTTTTTTTCTGTTTGCATTTACATAACTAATAAGAAGAGTTTGTAAGCTCAGCAGAAACCTGGGGGTATTTTTATTGTTAGTTTGAATAAACAGATGGAATCAGGTTAATGTCACTGTAGGTCTTCTAAAATTCCTGTACTTTCTATCCTCAATAAAATGCAAAAAAAAAAAAAGTTTGTATTTTCTTAAATGTGCAAAACTGTGGAGAATGGTTTAACTACCAATGCAAGAGGATATGGTAACACCATAAAACGTACATTTTTGAATAGAACGCAACTTATTCTCAAAATGTGTCGTCAAAGTCTTCATCGGTAAAGAACAGGGAGTTTATGGAAAGGCTTGAACATGGCATCTTAAATAGTGTAGGCTGTTTACAGACAGCGTTTTCAAAACCAGCTGGCTTTGAGCTGTGACTGATGTTTCCATCCACACAAATATCACCAACAGACTTCTGCCTCCCTAGAGCACCACTGTCCTTTCCATCCAGTGGATCTCCACACTCTTCAGAATCCACACTCTTGTCTGTAAGTGCTTCTGTGAAACAAGCCACTGCTGTGTTATCACTGTAATTAGAGGAATCATGAGCTTCATAGTCATTCTCTTCCTCGTCCTGCTGATTAGGGACAACTGTGAGGAATTTGTCCCATTTGGAGTCCTTGTTCTCAATCTTCGATTCACCAAACTTCTGACAAGAAGAACCAGAAGGACTGTTGCTGTGCAGGAGAAGGCCTTTGGTTACCTCAGCTGCTGGCAGCTTATGTGAAGAGTTACACTGCTGTTTATTTTCACTAGAGTTCTCCGCTGTGGAACTGGAGCAGGCTGTAGGATAACAATCAGCCTGACGGGATGATGGGAGATTTGTGCTAGTGCACGGCTCCATATCACCTGACCTGCCACAGGAGGAATATTTGGAAGCAGATCCTTTACTCCACGATGAATTGAATCTCCTGTCATGCTGCAGTGGCTGCAATAGAAACAAGAAGTGTTTGTGTTGAAACGGTGTTTTTTAAACGGCATTTTGCAGTATCTTGGCACATGAGTCTTTATACTGTTGCAGATGTGTTAAAGTGCGTTGTGTGGCTTACCTGATCCGGCCGTCTCTTAAACCCAGAACAACCAGTCCATGACTCCTCATCCTCACAGTTACCATCACGGCCACCAAAAGACTTTGAAGAGGAGATTTTCTTCCTTTTCCTGTAAAATGATGTTACATTGGTATTTGTTCACATGCTTAATAATAAAGATTTTTGGCAGTCTGAAAATACAAGACAATTTTTTCATGATCGTTTGTGCCAAGATTCTTTGGTTTTTATTTATTAATAATGATTAACATTTTCTTTAATAGCCAAAGTATTTAGCCTCATTAACAGATTAAATGCTTTTATTGACAAGGTACCTGGTTCCTTGGCTTCTGAATCTGTGTCTTTCTGTGTAAACATTCTCATCTTCTTCCTCATCTTCATGTCCATTTGGACCCTCAGCTGTTTGATCAGTGTATTTACTCCAGCGGCTGATGTGAGCCACTTCCTGCTACAAAGAGAGGACGCTTATAAGGCCAGAGCTGTTGGCAAACGTACTGATTCTCAATTGATCTACAAGTGACTTCTCGGTTTCTCTCTGAATGATATCCATTTAACTGAGCAGACAAAAGGACTGAATGGACATTAATAATAAAAGGACTGAATGGACATTGGTGCTTTACCTCTGATTTAGGATTTTGATCCAGACTCTCATAAACATCTTCGTTTTCATAGTTTTCATCCGGTTCCCTTTAAAACATTGTTAGTCAAAGGGTCAATGACATCATGCTCACTTTTTTGCAACATATTAATTTACTAAAATGCATTGCATAAAAATGCAACTCGTACATGCAGTGACAACAGTTGTGCTGCTTCATATTTTTTTGGAAACTGCGATACTTTTTTCAGGATTCTTTGATGAATAAAAAGTTAAAAAGAACAGCATTTATTCAAAATATAAATATTTTCTAACAACATAAATCTTTGCTATCACTTCTTATCAATTTAACACATCCTTGCTGAATAAAAGTTTTAATTTCTTAAAAAAAAAAAAAGAATAAAAATGTACTGACCCCAAACTTTTGAGCTGTAGTGTATATTGTTAGAAAAGATTTATATTTTAAATAAATGCACTTCTTTTTAACTTTTTATTCATCAAAGAATCCTGAAGAAAAGTATCACCGTTTCCAAAAAAATATGAAGCAGCACAACAGTTTCCAGCACTGATGATAAATCAGCATATTAGAATGATTTCTGAAGATCATGTGACACTGCAGACTGGAGTAATCATGCTGAAAATTCAGCTGCATCACAGGAATAAATGAGATTTTAATGTATATTAATGTATAAGAAAAACGCTATTTTACATCATAATAATATTTCACAATGTTATATTTTTTCCTGTATTTTTTATCAAATAAATGCAGCCTTGATGCGCATAAGAAACTCTTTTAAAGACATTACAAATCATTCTGATCCCAAACTTTTGAACGGTAGTGTATGTATCCTATGATGGGCTTGTTTTGAATTTCTGCATTAAAATTCAGTTTTATATTTTAGTGGTGACAAATTAAAAATGTCAGGGTGATACAACTGTGCTGATTTCATAAAAGTATTAAATTCTTGAAAAAAAAAAAAAAAAAAAAAAAAAAAAAAAAAAAAAAAAAAAAAAAAAAAAAAAAAATGTTGTGCAAGTTGTTTACACAACTTTTACAAGTATAATCATTAGGCTATGTACATATTTAACCCTAAAAAGGGCAAAACCATAAAGAGACATCAGAAAATTAATTTATTGCTATTTTCCATCTTATTGAGAATACAATTTCATTTTTCTTTTTCAAAACTTGCACGATAACAATATCGTGCATAGTCATTACCGTGATATATCGCATTACCGAATACCGGCACAAGTCTAATACACTCCCCTCCAAAAGTATTGGAACAGTGAGACCAATTCCGCCTTTTTTTGATGTAGACTGAAAACATTTGGGTTTGACATCAAAAGATGAATATGAGACAAGAGATCAACATTTCAGCTTTTATTTCCAGGTATTTACATCTGGATCTGATACACAATTAGAAGATAGCACCTTTTGTTTTCTGATTTCATAAAAGTATTAAATTCTTGAAAAAAAAAAAAAAAAATGTTGTGCAAGTTGTTTACACAACTTTTACAAGTATAATCATTAGGCTATGTACATATTTAACCCTAAAAAGGGCAAAACCATAAAGAGACATCAGAAAATTAATTTATTGCTATTTTCCATCTTATTGAGAATACAATTTCATTTTTCTTTTTCAAAACTTGACTCTTATTTTCCTGAATGTTTTGGAATACAGACCTAAGGTTGGGCTCTCTTTAAAGAAGACACATAGCAGATTATTGCTAAAGTAAATGCATTAAAAAAAAAAAAAAAAAAAAAAAAAAAAATAT